TGTTACATCTGAAAGATGAGCAACAAAAATGTGTTTCTCCTTCTATCTTCTAGGAAAAGCAATCAACACTTCAATTTTAGGAACAACATGCTGATAAAATGAAATGTGCTCCAGCAAAGACCAATTAAAACAGTTAACTTTTTCTGGCATGTGGGGTTGGGAAGTATTGGATGGTGTTGCTTCTGCTGGCCAGTTGATTTATTACTCTGGTGCAGTCAGATGTACCATGACCTTTCATGGCCAGTGCTTGGTGCTTAGTTGAAAAAGATCTTTTATATATATCTCCACAATTTCTGGGATTTATTCCAAATAGACAGGCTCTAGACATGCACCTTTTAATGTGCTATTTGGCTGGGGTCATGCCTTCCTCTGGAAGAATTCAGGGGCAAATTTATATTGAGACCCCATAACTCGACCTTGAATAGTATGTGAAGGAAGAACACACACAAGGTAGCAGTAAAAATATCAACTACATGGAGACCCTGAAGTGTCCTTGATAGTCTATAAATATCAGTTTTCTTTTCCTTGTTTAGGTGTGCTCTCAAAATCATTTTTAGTTTTTTTCACTGAGTTAGTTATACAGGTCAAATTTTCAGAAGACTTCAATTCAAGATCTAATACCACCCTTTTCTTATTAATCACTTCTCTTGGCTGTCCTCATTGCCTTCTGGGGTTCCACAGGCATTTTTACTACTGTGGACATTTGGAAAACAAAAGTATACTTTAATCATGCTCCCTGAAACTTTATAAATATAGCACTTTGGCATATTACATCATTTACTAAATGGAATGAATATTATATACTAATAAATGAGAACTTACTAAAAGATTAAATAAGGGTAATTAGGTGGAAAAGGATAAATAAAAATACTAAATTTTTCATTAATATATTATTTTCAACCAAGGGTGGCTGTTTAATCCTGAAAAAAAAACTGGAAGATGCTTATTTTTTATATTGTCTTTGCTATTCTTGAGAAAAGCTTGATTAAGAATGATAAACTCAGGAGGATCCTCTACTGACCCCAAACTCAGTGCCAGACTTCATTTAAAGTTACAGAAAACCAGGAGGTTTACTAAGAAACAATGAGGAAATGCTGCTAGTTTTCTTCTCATAGCTTCCTTTTTATATCTTTTTTAAAAAATCTATAGAGAGACATTTGTAGTCCTGCGGCCTGTAAAAGTGATGTTTGAATGTATTCTGCAAACTTGCAAAGCTAGTAACTCATAAAATATTCCTAAAGTTGGCGAGTTTCATAAGATGAAAGGTTCACACAGCTCTAACAAGTAACTAAAAAGGAGACTGGTGTAGTAGGCACCGATACAGCAGTTTAAACCTCATGCTGCACACGGGGCTGCAGTTTGAATTCTTATTACAGACCAGGAAAGATAACACACCTACCACATTTATCCTTCATTGGTGTGTTTAACAGTAATAGACTTTCCTGCAAAGTAATGAAAAATATGAACAAAATAGCTCTAGCCTTTCCTCTTAATTTTTTCCTTAAAGGAAGATTATTTTTTGTCTATAAAGAGAATTTTCACATTCATATTTAGCTCTTTTTGCTCTAGCTTGAAAAACGGGTCTCTAGTTTCTGCCAGCACTTGTAACCAAGGAGAATGATTACAACATGCAGGTTTCACTGATTGGTTGGAACTGAAAGCTGCACAGATTGATTTGGAGTCCTGAAACCATCTCTCTATTTTCTAATCTCAGTTGTTTCTGTCAAATGCCGGTATAGAACAATCATATCTGTTTTGACTGACAGCATAGCTGACAAGGAAGATCATCGTCATATCATTAGTATTTAGGAAAAGCTATGAATATATAGTCTCGTGTCACTTAACAACAGGTATATGCAATCTGACAAATGTGTTGTTAGGCAATTTTGTTGTTGTGCAAACATTATAGAGCATACTTACACAAACCTAGATGGTACAGCCTGCAATACACCTAAGCTGTATGAGGTAGTCTATTGCTCCTAGTCTACAAGCCTGTAGGCAGCTGTAACACAATGGTAAGTATTGATGTATATTAACATATCTAAACACAGAAAAGGTGCAGTAAAAATACAGTTATAATCTTATATAAAGGTGCAGTAAAAATACAGTGTTATAATCTTATGGGATCGCTGTCGTATATGCAGTCCATCACTGACTGAAAAGCCTTTCTATAGTGAATGAGTATAATATTTTATTTCTGTGGGCATATATATATATATATATATATATATATATATATATATTTAAACTAGTTACAAGCACAATTTAGCAAATTAAATAGATCTACTGTTAAGAATTTGTTTTTATTCATAATTTCCCAAACTACTTTGAGGTAGTATCCTAAATAAGATGAGGAACTAAATGAATAAAATATCTTATCTAATGAATACACATTAAGATTTATGTGATAAGATTTTTAAAATACTTAAAAATAATTATTACCCTTACAGATAATATATAACAGCCTAATTAGACTGTGTCTCATATACTGAATATATAGAAGCTCAGTTAATATGTATTTACTTAAGCAATCTAAAGTTTTCCATTTCATTTTGAAAATGTACTGGCTGAACTACCATGGCTAGTAGCCATCTCTCTCTTCTACTTTACACCTTCTGGACTTCTCACTTCACCTAATGAGAACAAGGTTAGATATTGTAATTAAAGACTGAAGATGAGTTTTATGTAAAAAAGGTGGAATACAAATCAGCCAAAAAAGTCTCAAAGTAAAGACATTGTCTTTACATCATATAGTGTCTGTATATGTTTTAAATTTAAAAAAAAAAAAAACTTTTAATATATGGCTACATTTTTTGCTGCTTTATGGTTTCCCAATTTAACCTAATTTTTCAATTGACTAATTGAATAATTGTCCCAATCAAGCAAGATAAAGAGGCTTCTTGTAGAGAAGTATTATATATTCAGCATAAAATAAAGATAATTTTAATATAGCATAGTAATGGCATCGAAAATTATATTTTGATCTTAGAATATTTTAAACGTGTCTTTGGTTTCTTTAATTTAGAAATGCTCTAACTTAGAAACAAAGCACATAGAAAATTACAATTGCAAATAGAAAGAGGGCAAAAAAGACTGACCTTGTATTTGCCAAGTTTTTAGAGGTATATTAAAACCTCCACCTGGCATTGCCTATTGCCTTGATTAATACTATCCTCCCCAGAATTTGATGTGAAAAAAAGATTCTACTATTAAAGACTGATACTGTTGTTTTGCAGGTCTTTGCATAATAAATAATAAATCAAGCAATATCCTGATGAGGAATTACCTTAATTTCATACTATTTCCTTTTTCCATTTTATACTTTACTGTGCAACATTTTATTAATATTTATTAATAGATATAAGTGAGAAAGTAAAAATAGAGGCCCTCACATTCATGACCTGGACTGAAACTCTCAGCTAAGTCCTTAAGTCTTAGGTTGTTGAACATAAACTATTTCACAGAACCCTAAACTAAAATAAGACTATTCAGTGACCAAGATGGACAATGACAAAAACAAGAACAATCCTTAATTTTATCTAAGCATAAACAAAACAGGAACATTGTCCAGGTCACAACATACCAGATACAAGTGACTGTTGTTTCTTCAGCAGTTACTTTATCCTCAATTACATTAGCCTCACTCTAGTATATCATCCATATAGGTAAGATTTGGTGACATACCCAATCATAAAATTGCTCCCATTTCCTGGTAACAGGCAATCCAGGGCAGTCTTGCTTCCTTAATTTCTTCCCCAAATAACCAAATCCCAAATGATACAATAGGTTCTTTTAATACCCTCTAACTGAGATAACCTCACATTTCCCCATTGTGTGAGGTATTTATTGCTGCAAACAAGAATAAACTCAGGGGTGTTCCTGGTGATCTTTGGCTATAGGATATGGACACAAGAAACAGAAAATTGATTCTAAGTGTTTAAAGACTTTATTGTGATGGGGAGAGGTATTAGCTAAAGTCCTGGGAGAATATAATGCAGGAAGATAAAGATAATAGGGAATCAAAGATCACATTGTCTCTCCTCCTAGAATTGTATGCAGCTTCATACTAGAGAGTGTTATAACTTATTGATTAAATTACCCAATTCCGTGAAAGTATGCTGAATAGAAGCAGGAAAGCTGTTTCTGTATGCTCAGTTTAAATTACAATTAAGTTTCCAGCTGGAGATCCACAAAATATAGTAGAACCCTCACAGGGATGGTATTCGCCTTGTTCTATTTTAAGATTCCATAGCAATATCACCTTATAGTAACAGCTGTTTGTAGCAATGGGATTGGTATGAATTTTTCTTCTACTGCCTGGCAAGTTGAAAAGCTATAAAGTATTTTCAGTTCATTTCAGGTTCAGGTATCCCTAGGAGCAATTGTCTTCATTCAATCAGAAAGGAAGGTACTAAGATTGCAAAACAGAGATTAAGTAACTGAATGCAAACTGCTGTTGGTTGAAAACTCCAACTGGGACTTTATTGCCAAGCACCAGACATTAGAAGATCTGTGACTAAATTAGCCAGAGTAAACATCCTGAGGTACAAAACTAGTGCCAGCTCACTGAGCTATCAAAAAGATAAGTGGGTTGACAGAGGGGCTGAAGAAAGACATAAGTAAATATGGATAAATTCAATACCTGTTCATATATTGATGGACATGATTTGAAAAAAATATGTCAGAATCATAAATTCAGTTATAAATATGCAGAATAAAATTTTTGGAAGGTTTATGCTCTTGTTAGGAAATAAATAACTATATTAGGATTAATATTACATATTTAATTTGAGTCTCAATATAAGAACCCCATGAAAGTTGTTAAAATAATGAAAGTAATGCTGATTTAATAATTAGACATTGAAAACTTACATCCTCAGTGGCATTATTTATTAAAACAAGCACAGAGAAAAAATATTTTCCTTCTCTTCCCCTACTATACTTTTTAAATCTTAAATTCTCAGTTTAAAAAATGTGTAGTTATAATATGCATTCTAAAATTATAAAAATTATAATATTATACTTAATGACTTTTTTTTCAAACAGAAAACATATAGCCAGGACTCAGATCAAAAGTCAATGTTACCATCATCCTAGTTTCTGTCTAGTAACTATTTTAATATCTACAATCTAATTACATTCTTTATAGAAATGGTATCCTCTGCCAAAACTAAGATGAGTAACTATAATTGTTGTTGTTATTATTATGATTTGTAGTAGTACTAGTAGTAGTGTAGTATGTAATGTCTTAGCTCCTTGACGTGTTTGAATAGAAAGTTCATAAAATAACTGAAATTTCAAGCATTTGAATTTTAATCTTTAAAAACTGTTTTTAGGTGAGTTTTTTCCCCCAAATTATAGGCTGTCATAATAAGTTTGAACTTTATCTATAACAATGGAAAGCCATTAAAGAAATGTATGCCCTAGAAGGACATGAGTGCACTTTTGTTTTGGAAAAATAAGACATTGGGGAATGTAGATGATGAGTTATTAAGAAGAAAATAGAGTTGCAGTAGAGAGAACCAGTTTAGAAGCTAGGGAATTAATACATTAAATAAATTATAAAATTTAAGGATGTCTCAATAAGTTTGAATGTAATGGAAAGTATTTAGCAATAAATGAAAAGAATAATCATATTTAAATGACTAATTTAATATGAAGATTTAGTGGAGAAAAGAGTTATAGTCTCAAGTTCTTGTTTGGTGGATATTCATATTATTAATGGCAAAAAAATATAAGTAATAGGTCAGAGCTAAAGGCTTATATATTTGAATAGTTTCCAGTCAGGTTGATTTTATACCAAAATAACTTTTATGAAAAAGAGAAAGTAGTAACAATGCTATAGATTATTTACTCTCTTGCCAAATAAATACTGAAAATTACAAAAATACTATTTTTCATTTGATTGTTAAATAGGCATATTCATCTTAATATTTCCAACCTGAGATCCTGATTCTTCCTCAAACCATCCCCTCCTTAATGTTCCCACTCAGTTATTGGTCATGTAAATTGTTGGGGTAAGGATTTGCCACAGCACTGTGAGTTGTTCAGATAAAAAATTTTGATATAATCTTTAACTTGACTCTTTCTCATGACCCATATCTGTTTCATCTGTAAATCCTTTTTGCTGAACCTTTAATAAATACCCAGGATTCCATGTTCTTACCCAACCGATCGCTACCATACTGCTTTAAGTCACCATCCCAACTCTTCTGGATTATCAAAACAATCTCATAACTTGCCTTCCTACTTCTGCCCTTGATGCACTTTCATTTTATTTGCAATATGGTAACGAAGGTGATTCTGTTAAAACATTTCATATCATGTCACTTCTTAGTTTGGAACCTTCTATTTTTTTCTTACCAGATTTAGAATTGAAGCCAAATTTCTTGCTTAAAGTGAAAAGGACTACATTACATTCTTCCATGCTAATTTATCTTTTATTCTTTCATTACAGTCACACAGGCATGATTACTGCTTCTCAAACAAAGCTGGCATGCCCTCACCACAGGACATTTGAACTTGATTTTTTTTTCCTGCATGGAAGTTTTTTATTATTATTATTATTTTATAGAAAAATAAAAATGTATTTCTCACAGTTCTGGAGGCTGAGAATTCCAAGATCTAGGTGCTGGCAATTGGTGTCTGATGAGGACTTTCTTGCAGTGTCCTCACACAGTGAAAGGTGGAAGGCAGAACAGCGAAAAGGGAATGAATTCCCTCCAGCAGCTTCCTTTATAAATCTGCCTGGAGTATTCAAAAACAAACAAACAACAAAAATCACAGTTAGTTCTCTCAGTTCTTTCAGGTCTTCACACAGTTATCTGCTAAGCCTTCCTTGCTCACTTATATAACATTGCACCATTACTTAACCATTTCACTTCCTCCTTCCTCACTTTATTTTTAAAAACCCCCATAGGATTTAATAGTATCTGACCCATTTTTTATACTTTATTTTTATTTTCATACACACACACATAAACATACACAAGGTAATATTTATAAGTAAGGATTATTGTCTCTTGTCACAACTGCATCTCTAACATCTAAATATATTTAGTGTATATATGTTTAAGGTATAGATATTTAAAATTAAGTAAACAATAAAATGTGGCAATTTTGTTAAAAATTTATTGCCTATGCTTAGTGAATATTAATCACTTTAAACAGATTTGGAGCTATCTTTAGTAAATCCTAAGAATATGAAATATTAATATTAATATCACTGAACTTTAAGTAATTGCTGTAAGGACCTACAAACATACGCACATGCAGTGTACAAAAGTGAAGTCCCTGGCTTTGATATTGTACTATAGTTATATAAAATGTAATCATTGGAGAAGATTAGGTGGACAGTATGCAGGATGAATCCACACTTATTTCAAAGTGAAAAGTTTAAAAAGTAATTATGTTAGGCAGCTCTAACTTTTACTTAATAGGTACCCTCAATTAGTTTGTATTTATCAGAGAAATGCTTTGTTTTTCTGGTTTGCTTAATTCTTAGTTAAAAAATAACAAACGATTTTATTGCAGAGGAATATTCCTAATGCATTCTTTCACTCTCCTTTGATTTTTATTATTATTATTATTATTATTATTAATTATTATTTTGAGATGGAGTCTTGCTCTGTCACCCAGCCTGCAGTGCAGTGGCGCAATCTCCGCTCCCTGCAAGCTCCGCCTCCCTGCAAGCTCCGCCTCCCTGCAAACTCCCCTCCCGGGTTCACGCCATTCTTCTACCTTATCCTCCCAGGTAGCTGGGACTACAGGCGCCCGCCACCACGCCCGGCTGATTTTGTTAGTAGAGACGGGGTTTCACCTTGTTAGCCAGGATGGTCTCGATCTCCTGACCTCGTGATCCACCTGCCTCAGCCTCCCAAAGTGCTGGGATTACAGGCGTGAGCCACCGATCCTGGACTCTCCTTTGATTTTTATTTAAACTAAAACTAGCATGACAGTCACATTGAAAAATTCCTCATGACAAAAATCTCTTATCAGGAAAATATGTTTGAGACACATACACATTGACCCTGTCATCGTCAAGCTATTGAAGGGGTTGCTTCTCATAAAATATGCACTTTTTACTTCAGTACTTCAACGGTACTTTATGTTTATACACTTTAAACATTTTAATTGCTGAGTCATTTAAATCTTTCAAAATGTAAGCAATTATTTCAAATATTTTTATATTGGCTAAAACCAATTATGTTCTATACTGTAATGCAATCACTTAGTTGTTTCTTGGGTGTCTAGGACTAAATATTTTTAGATGACTTTTAATTATTTTACCAGAGTTGCCTATATTTTTTCTTTTACTCGCTTTCATTTTCTTCTGTTATGTTCACTTTTTTTCTTCGTTTTCCTCCACTGTTTCCAATGATTATTAGCCACAGAAGGAACACTTTGTAACTTCCCTGACTAAATAATGTCTCTTACTGCTTTCTCTTTCAGGAAGTGAATACTTATTTTATCTGCATCAAAATTGTATGAACTGGAATGACATTTATTTGTCGTGTGTCTCCTGTAAACTGAAACAGTTCGTCAATTTTTCTTTGTCTTTCCTTATTATGAAATTATTTTTGAGAAGTGAAGGTCAGTTATTTTGTAAACTGTCCCTCAATCTGGATTTATGTGATATTTTTCATGATTAGATTTACTTTATACATTTTTAGTGAGAATGCTCTGAAAGTGATTTTTTTCTTTTGTTCTCAGTAAATGAAATCAAGAGGAATATAATACTGATTTTTCTCAGTATTAGTGATATTAAATATCATGTTTTTAAGGTGGTGTCTACTAGGTTTCTCCATTACAAAGTTATGAATTTTAACTTTTGGATTTATAAGAAAAAAAAGAAATGTATTTTGAAACTGCTAGAAAAGCTTGATGCTCATCAAATGTTCACCAACAATCGTTATTAGCAACCATTAAGTATTTTCTAATTCCACTTGTATCTTTCCATATCTATATATCTGTATCTATGTGGATATAAACATAGCTATCTTCCTATCATAAGGAAGAACTCTCTTTTTCTTTACCTATTTATTTGTTATATATATCAGTTTGGATTCATGAATTATTATTTTATTCAATGTGTTAAAAGCAATTACTCTATTTCAATTTGCAAATTTTCTATTGATGTATCTGTCTGTCCATAGTGACGTGTCCATTTATGTCTACAGAACCTTGGGAACAAAAGTCAGAGGTTTTGGTATTTCAGGAAAGTAATGCTGTGTATATTACATATCCCTTGAAACATGTGAGTGACCACATATTTTGACAGTGAAATATATGAATATTCAAACTAAATATGATTATAAAGACTGTATATAGCATCCTAGTCAACTCGAATCAGATTTAACCATTAAGTGAATAACATTTTGGTTCTCAAAGGTATAGGAATTTAGAATTCTGAATAAGGCATTGTGAACCTCTGCCTGGTTCTCCTTCTATTTTGAATAGTGTATTATTTTATATTTACAAAATGCATGTCACCTTTATATTGTATACTGTTTAGGCTAACGGTAAAATCTAGAGCTTAAATATGATTATGAAGCTGTCTTAGGAGTTAGAGAAATTACATTAATCTTGGATTGTATATTAATTAAAATGTATACAGAGTTAAAAAGCATTCAGAAAAAATGTTTAATAAATTTTAAAGACTAAGTTAATATCTATGGAAACCAAAGAAAATTAATTTATATTTTCGGATGTTTGCATCACATATAAAAGTTTTATTTAGATTTACCTGCTATCTAATAAGTTGTGCCACTGTACAGTATGAATACCATCTTGGAGATTTCGTTCTTTATATAAGATTATATAAACTTGTAAAAAATTACATACTAGCTGACTAAAAACATGCAAGGTGGTTCAGGTAGGAAAGAAAGGCAAATCTGATAATTTTATATTAAAAATTTACTCTAAGAAATTATCTTTCTTAAGAAAATTTTATAGCCATAAAAGTATTCATAAAGCAAGGTATACTGGGGCATATACAGGGTTACCTGAAATTAATTGCGGGACCCGATAAGTAGGTTACTCTCTAGTTAAAAGATAAAACTTGATAAGTTTCTTTCCATTACCTTGCTTTTGAGTGAGGTGACAGGCTACTGGATGAAAATACTGCAACCAGATGAATGGAAAAGTTGTGTTGCCAGGGAAACCTCCTCCAGGAGTTGTGTGGTCCTCATGTAGCTCTCCTTTTTTCCTTACAGCAGTAGTTCCTTCATGGTACAAAGAAAAAGATCAAGACTAACATGTGGTCATAAAAGAGGAATGTATTTTATATAAAATATCAGTACCCTACATCAATCTATTACTACTTTATGGTCTCTAATAACATGTAAAATAACTTATTAAAAGGAAAAATTAGATCCTTCATCTTTGTGTATATTATTTAATTTCACTGTTGCCCTCAAGGCTTCCATTAAATGTGTCGTATCTTAGATATATAAAGTTTAAATTGGTATAGAGCTATTATGATTTCTACCTTTTCTGTTTTTAGTGGCCTACTGTGTCGATGCATTATCTATAATAGTTCCTCATACATTAGTTTTAATTTATTCCTGGAAAAAAAGAACACCTACATGGTTTGTCTAAAAGCATTTTTCCCTGGGATTAAAAGGATTGCCATTTTTACATGCTGGTCTGAAATGAAAATGAATAAAAATGAGACCTATTTTCATTTTCCAAACATGGCCTTTGAAGTTTTCAAAGTGAACCTTGATAGAGAATAAGGCCAGATAAAAATGTTATTACAGCTCTGGCCTCAGGAAGAAAAAAATCAAAACAGAAATTTCCCATGGTGATTCCCTTTCCAGAGAACTGATCATTAAACCATCATGCTGTTTGACATTCTTTACAGAAGTATGGCATTGCTTCGACTGGAGTTTAATTTGAGGAATTACCTTTTCTGATTTTTTAATACTGTAACTTTAAAAGGAATAAAATAAAGACATTCTGCCCATCACAATGAGTGCTCTCTGTACACAGGAAAATACCATTTCCTCTTAAATCCCAAAGGAATAAATCTGGATTTGAAACCACCAGGGAGCTATATACCCTGACAGAATTGTTTTTACTAAATTGCAATTGAGCATTTACCACCAGTTTACCTTCTGGACATTAAAAAAAAAAAATCATAAGAACTCGCTAGCTTTCCTTTTGTGTAGATCTTATTGAGAACATCAGTCAATGTATGGAATAGCTTCCTCTTTACAGTATCCCTAAGGAGAAATTCCTCTCAAGCCTCACTATTGGCAAAAGGTATATATCTTTTAAACAACTGGCTCCCATCCCTCCTCACTTCCCTAATATTTTAGATACTGTGTTTCTAAATTTCATCCTGATTGCTTTGACCATTAGGAAGTTTAGAGAAAACATTTTGGTACATCTCTGCACCTACTTAGCGCTTTGTGGTAGGCATTTCTATGAGCTATTCTTAACCCTTACTGTTTCCTTTTCCATGATTTACCTTCTTCTGTTACTCAAGTATTCTTTTTTAATATTGTAGTCATTTTAAACATAAAATAAATTTAAAAATTAGGTAGGTGTATAAAAGGATGTTTTGACTTTTGTATGTAACCAAAATTTAAAATGCTTTATATAGTGATTGCTTGATATAATACTAATTGGATTAAATTTATTTTCCTATTACACATTGGGGGTATGTGGGGGTGATGGGGAACTATTTAATTCCTGACTCTAGACTCTTGTTTAGCTTTGTCTACTTCTTAATCTTCTTATACTTTAATGAGTGTCATAATCTCAGTAGTTTCACATTCTTCTCAAGCTATGCTATTCACTGTTCCTACAAGTACTTTTAAATGTTTTATTGCATAGTTTAACTTGAGATTTCAAATAATAAACTGCCCCAAATTTAATTACTGTATTCATACTAATTGGATATGGTAATCAGCGGGTCTCTCAGAGGTGTTTTATCTTGATGTCTAGGGGCATAAGCAGTATACTATTGGTGTTAACAGAGAACCACTTCTGGAATGCATTTCTGTCAAACGTTATTTCAACACTTAGAGAAGTCTCCAAATAATAGTTTGATTAGTTTCAGATATAAAATAAGAACTAGTGAAGAAAATTGAGGCATTGAGGAGTGGCTGATATTTATTGAATATTTACTATATACCAGCCACTAGGTTTTCATATTTGGCTTTAAAAAAAAAAAAAAAAGACTTTTCTTAGCTTTGGAAGAGCAATGATATATTGATGTATCTCTGTAATGTGCTTTCCTTCAACAGACACATAAATTATCTGTGAGATAATAGTAAGATAGGCAGCTATAAAATGGCACTTTTAGGAAAGACCTAAAGTTCTTATTTATTCTTATGCTCTTATTTGTTCTTATGTTATTTTGAGAATGTTAGAATCTAAAACTTTCCTTTTAAGACTTCTGGAAAGGTCAAAGTTTTGCTTTATGTCCAATTCAATACCTAAGTTTCCTGTTATTATTCATAACCCCCACCCTTTTATTTTTATTTCTATTTTTTCATTTTTAAAACTTGGATCTGTATTAATCATTGCATCTAGGAGAGAGATAAAATGGCAATATTTGTGGGTAAAGAATAACCTTAGCAAATAGGAAGAGGATATTCTGTTTGCGAATCTAGATTTTTTTTTTTTTTACTTCAAACGTTAAGGCTATGCCTTGACTACTACATTTTTCTTTGTCTTCTATCTTCCAAGACAGTCTCTAATATTTGTGAAGTAATATTTGTGAATCTATGGCTGAAAATTGTGCATTCCTCTTCAGAATGGAAGAGTTCTAATAGATTTTAAAGTAGCCAGTTTAATAAGAGACAAACTGGTATGCTGGAACACTGAAAAGCAGCTTTATACATGAATGAAATCTTTACTGCCAAAAGATAAATAAACAAAATAATTTGATGTCAATATTGTGAAATACTGCATAAAAAACTAAAGAGTAACAATATATTATTTATTTACCTTTTGTTTGATTTCATTTTGGAGAGGGTTTAATTTGACCCTTGAGTATGCACATCAAGAAATTACATAAATGCAAATCCAAGGCTCTGAAATATTTTTTTGTTGTTGTTAACCTTTAATTGGTTGTGCCACTAAATTAGTTGTAAAGCATTATAGTACATGACTGGTCAGCCATGCTGTATGTAGTAGTTGTCCTCCTCTAAATTTATATGGATTGTTATATATTTCACAGTCAAACTTTTAGCCATTTAATTAAAATGTATATGTAATACTTATAGAACTGATTATCTGTATGATCTTTTCTGTGTGTAATTTTAATATTCCCCAGTTGGCCTAGCTCAGAAGCATGTGTGCCAGGAATAAATATTTAGGTGAATAAGATATATGATTAAAATTCAAGATGAAAGCTAGACTTTTTGAAAATAAGATTACCATTTTTTTTTTCAAAAAGGAAACTTCTTTACAGCATGGATGTTACAGATGAATTTTGGGGAGGCTATTATATCAGTTATCATGTTAATGCTATTAGAAGATAATCATACACAATAACTTGTGATAAGCATTTTTTATTATCTGTTTGAATCAGACTCTGAATTCTAGTATTAGAATCTAAGACATGCTCTTAGGTTTTATGAATGTAATAATATTGAGAAGCTATTTCTAGATACTTCAATTATGTAGGAAATATTTTTCATATTTCAAATTATGTAGGAAAACCCTTAAAGGATTAAAATTTCCCAATAATACGTCTTATCTGACATATTCTGGGAAATTTCTAGCTCCTGTGGAATTTTACCAAATAGCATTTTGTATAAAAATATGAAACCCCTACCTTATGCTAAAATTCTCTTGACTTACAACTGGAGAATATACCAGCTACCACATTCCATACTGTAAGAGAAGAAGGCAGGCTCTCTAGGCAATTTGCACATCTGGTGCTGTAAAACACGGCGGGCTGACATAGCAATGAAAGTCTGTTTTCTTACGCCCTCTTTTTTATGGTGGGATTAAGTGCATGAGATATTCATATATACTGTGAGGTGCTTTAAGTTGTGAAGCAGATAATATTCTCATAGCTTCATTTTCTTCAATGTGACTCTCATTGCATGAATCACTGTTAGTGAGACTCTGCACTGAATTTTTAAAAACTATAAAGGTAAAATACTCTGTCAAATACAGCAAAGAAGAAAGTGGGAGGGAACTGATATTTGGCTGCTTGTCTACTATGTACAAACATACTAATAGGAAATGTATATGCACTTGAAACATATGTATTATACCAGATGAATTTGATATATTTTCATATTCTTAAAATAAAGAAACTGAGACTCAGAAAGAATAGCTCCCAATAGGATACATGGCTATAAAATGGCAGATCCAACATTCAAAGAACCAATATTAAAATCCCAAATCCCATTTGTTTCCACGGCACTCAAACTTGTTTGCTGATGATCATCTAGAGCTGTCACTGAAACCAGTATCCCAGGCCCTCCCTTTTGAGATTATATTATAGTTGCTCAGGTACTCCCCAGGAATCTGGATTGTAACAAGGACCTCATATAGTTCTTACAGTCAAGTATTTGTGAAAACACTGCTCCGCAGCTTACTATTTCTCTGCAGTTGAAATGATGTCTTTCTTGTATCTAAGAAACACACAATTCTAAGTGACTCTTTGGACCTATAGCTTTGTTATATTTATGCTATTTTTATACAATATATTCTTCTAAATTCTTTCTAATCTTTTAAAAATTCAAAGAAATTACCTGATAACATGATAGGAGGTCAGGGTTGTAATAACTATATCTAATAAAATGTTTAGGGAGTTTTAATTTTTTGAATGTTTTTTCCTAAGGCACAATCCTTACTAGATCCAAGCCACTCCATGCAGATGGGCACATTTTCTTACACCTGGATTGGTCCCAACAGCATTATCTGTTGGAAGACCTTATGTTTTAATTGCAAACTTATATTTGGCTTTGTGGAATTCAGGCAGCAATGTTAAATTACATTTTTCAGTAGCTTCGAGGCTCTATCTGTAATTAGTGGCTTCTGTTCTTTATTACACTGATCAGTAATGCAGCTCTATTCATCACCGCAGTCTCAGTTAATTATCCTTACTAATGATTTTCATGGTGTAAAGAATCTTCAGGACCCATTTGTAAAGATATTTTTGCATTGAAATTATTGGATAGTATGACACCGTAGTGAGCTGATAAACTGTTGGAGGGATGTTACCCTGGGAGATGGTTACTTTCATTCTATT